GGCCGAATTTGAGTGTTTTAGTCGCCTTCTAAGGAGGACCTTTCGGCAGCTGTAGTGCCGACGGGTGAGGGTGGGAGTGGTGGTAACTCTCCCGTAATTAAGCAGGAGGATCTACCTAAATTCATTGAACTGAGGCCGGACTGTTTTTATTGTACACTTTGTGATGCTCGGCCCCAGGCGTGGTCATCTCTAGAGGGTCACATTGCTGGTCAGAGGTAATGGCTGTTCTGGAGGGCTGAGGGGTAGGGAGTTTGCTCAGGCATAGAAGTCGATATGAGAGGGCCGAGTGGGAGCAGTCGGGCCAGGCTGCTAGCTGGTATGAACAGATAGCGGCCTCCTCGGTATCGACTACGGTGGGGACGATGAGCTTGTGGCTGGACGAGGGACGACGTGTTGTTGGTTAGGCTCCTGCCCTTCCCTGGACCTATTCAAGCACCTCTTCGACCTCTGTATCAACGTCCTCGGTATGGCAGCATTCACAGCCTTGGCAGCAGCCACGAGTGGCAGCGGAACGACCGCTTTTCGCGCCAAATGGCCGCCTTCTGCCTCCTGGGTAGTTACGAATGATGTGGCTTTGGTCAAGGCCATAGTTCGATTCGAGTCGGAGGGGTGATTAATTCGTCTTTGCAGATTTCGCTACGCCCGGGCTCAAGCGAAGGCCAAGGCTGTTAAGGCCGCTGGACCGCCAAGCCGAGAGACGTTTAAAGCTGATGGTGTGTTGGTGTGATTACTCCCATGGAGACTTGTGATGTGTTGTCGAATATTATTCCCTCAGAGTTGTTACTTGTTGTCGCCTTTTTTTCGCTGGAAGAGGTTGGGAGATTCATAATTTGCCTAAAGCGTACGTTGCCTCTAGCAGCTCCCGTACCTGCGATTTCTAACTCCGCGGAAGCTGCCTTGCGTTTAGTGCACTTCGTCTCGATCAGAATAGACATACTCCACGCCCGTGTGCATGCGTGCAAGTTTTCAGTGGCTCAAGTGTAGGGGAATGCTCCGATCTTATGTTAGTCCAAGGATTCTGCTAGTGACCAACAAGCCGTGTTTTGGCTATGAGGAGGCCACAATGGCGAAAGTGCGAATTCTGTTGAAAAGTGCACTTTTTGCACCGCTTCGCTCCGCCTCACGACATTTCACTGCGCCACGTAATTGCTGATTACCATCCCCCTTGTAGTGCATAAGCTATGGAGTATATTTTTCGTGATGGTTTTCAGTAGAAGTCCCCTTGGGGTCGGGCATAGGTTGTTCGGATCTTCACTCACACCTGTGTGGTTGTAGTTAGTTCCTATACGTATAAGTCATGGCCAAGCCCGCGCCTAAGAAGGTCGTCGAGTCTTCCAGTGACGAGTCCTCATCTGATGAGGAGGACCAGGTCACCAAGCCTGTTGTACATAAGAAGAAGGTCGCCGCTAAAAAGAAGGTTGAGAAGAAGCCTGTTGTCGAGGACAGTAGCAGCAGTAGCGACTCGGATTCTTCGGCGGATGAGGCACCCCCGCCTAAGGCCAAGAAGGCTGTAGCTAAGAAGAAGGCCGTTGCCCCTAAGAAGGCCGCCCCTGCCAAGAGGGCCGCGCCGGAGTCATCGTCCAGCTCTGATGAGAGTAGCAGTGACGATGAGGAGGAAGCCGCTCCTGCTAAGAAGGTCGCTAAGGTCGCTACTAAGAAGGCTGCTGCCGCTGCTGCTGAGGAGTCCAGCTCGAGCGATGACGATTCTTCGTCATCTAGTGAGGACGAGAAGCCTGTTGCTAAGAAGGCCAAGAAGGCTACTCCTGCTAAGAAGGTAGTTGCTCATGAGGATTCTGATTCATCCGATTCTAGCGACTCTGACTCTGATGCTAGTGATATGCCTTCTGCTAAGGCTGTTGCCAATGCTAAGGCTCGGCTAGCCTCTAAGAAGACTGAGAGCTCTGAGTCTAGTGATGATGAGGAAGAGGAGACAAAGCCTGCTGTTCAGGCTCCTAAGAAGGCCGCCGTTGCTGAGGAGTCCGACTCAAGCAGTGACTCCAGTGATGACGAGGAGGAGAAGAAGCCCGTTGCTAAGAAGGCTGCCCCTGCTAAGAAGGCCGCTGCTGAGGAATCTAGCTCTAGCGACTCCGAGTCTAGTGAGGACGAGGCCCCTGCCAAGAAGCCTGTTGCTAAGAAGGCCGCCACCAAGAAGACCGTTGCTAAGAAGGCTGCTGCTGAGGAATCTAGCTCTAGCGACTCCGACTCTAGTGAGGATGAGGCCCCTGCCAAGAAGCCTGCTGCTAAGAA